TGTTCCATTGTTCAGGCTTCGAGCGGAAGTCGCTCTTCTCTGCCGAAAAGGAGCCCAAAGAAAAAGTGAAGCAGGGCAAGTTCTCAAGTCAAAAAACAAAATAAGAATCCCGCGAGACAGACGACCGGGGTCAGGACTATAATTATGGCAAGGTCAAACCGTTAGAGATCGGGGGATCGCGGGAGGAGGCGTGAACGGATCGGGAGATCGTAACTTAATACGAGCCAAAGCTGCAAACTCAAACTCATCCTTGCAGCACGCGTCCTCGAAAATCGAGTTTACTATGAGTGCAATTTGCAATGTGCAACGGAAACGCTTCCTGTCTTGGCACACTTTCCACCAGGGAACACATCTGCCAGGATCCTCGATCCTGCAGGGTGGTTTCCTCAAGGATCAGACACGCTGTTGACCTCAAAGGATGCACAATTAATTGAAAAATGTCACTCACATGTAACCCTTCTTTTTTCGGTGGTTTTCTTCGTTATTTGCTCGGTTTTTACTTGGGTTTTTAATTGTTTTATTTTTGCACTGCACTCTTTAATTGGCGTGAGAATATCACTATCATAACTGGGTTAGTTTTTATTTGGGATTCTGCAGTTTCTTTTCATTTATCAGGCGAACTCGAGGGCTGGCAGTTTCCATTTTGACGACGCTTCGCAATCTCGATCGCCGCGGGACCAGCCTTTAATTTTCACTAACTTTGCCCGAAGCTGGCCGCCTCACAATTGATCGCTTTTCTCGGCGGTTGGCGCTTGGTAAACAAATCCCAAGAACGCCGAAGAGAATCGGAAAAGAGCGCGAGAGAGGCTGGTGACAACCCGTTAAAAATAGAATGAATTACGACGGGAGACCACCAAAAACCAAAAGGAACTAAACTTTTGATAAGTGTGTTTTATAAACTTCGTGTTTTGTGGATCGTGTGCGATCGTAAGTCCCACAAATCGGGCTGTGAAATATATAACTCACGCTCGTGTATTTTATATTTGTACTATGCACCCCGCGACTGATATCTGGAGTCTACTTACTTACTATCTATTCTTTAACTTGAACACAATTTGTAGAGCATGGAGAAGCGAACTAGAATCGGCACTGCTAGAAAAATGGGAGCGGAAAGGCGCTAGTTACTCATAGTAACTACCTCGGATATATGAATGAATGAATTATCAGAAATCGAAACGATAGGCCCTATCTTTATAACTGTCTATCAAAGCCATTGTAAACTTAATTACTAGTTAACAATAATGGCATAAATATGATCTAAGCCTTATTGAACTTTGGCTATAAATAATAAAGTGAAAGGTTACCTTAAAAAGGAAATTACCCAATCGAACGATATCCTGAAAAGATAATACAAGGTATCTTAATAACTAGTTGGGACCATTTAAATTTTCTTTTCATTATGATTATAAATACTTACGAGTTCCCCTTTCTCAAGAACCAACACATATTTGTTCTATACAAAATCACCACCTCCCGCATATCGGAACTATCTTCTGTGGTCAGTAGAAGTGTTTCGTTTCAAAACATAAACAAAGTTGTGGGAGAAGGTCCGCGCTCATAAACAATAGACTAGTGACAAGACACTGACAGTTACGCCGATAAAGGCAAGCCCACTCATATACCACATAGTGCCCACATACCCGATGGAAACGGGGTGTTGGTACACCCATAAATACCCCACTCGCTTTTCCGTTTAATTCGTCATCTAAATAGACGATCTCTAGCCACGGACCAGTGTAAATTTATCTGCAACAGAAGCCTTGACGTAACCTCGTAAACAAAAGACAGTGCGACTGAGTCTTTCAGATAAACTGGGTAATTGGAAAAAATCCCTCTGCGAAGGGAATTCAAAATAAAAGAAGGTGTAGAGACATTTGTAATTCACACGGAAGAATATAGATAGTCATGGCAAATGCCAATTGATAAGTTGGTAATTTAGTTTATGGTATCCTGCACTCAAAACTGGTTGTAGCTTAAAAAAATTTAAAGGGAATTTTTCCTATAAATAATAAAAAAATAATATAATTAACGTCAATATTATTTATTTATGTGATATCTATATATATATTTCATATATGCCTTTCATTGCAAATTGTAAGAAATATATGTTATATCCATTGTTAGTTAAATAATTTTAGAAAATGATCCGAGGGGAACACCGATCCCCTCTCCACCATTAAGAACTTAACTACGCCTCATTTCAAAGCCCCTTGTCATCGGCCATATAACGTATACGCAGGGTCTGCCCATGGCTATCATCGACCGCTTCTATCTAGACAACAAGGTTGGCTGGCTGGCGTGCAATCGAGTCGACAAGAAAACACTTTTGCTTTCGGACAGTAAAACGTCGAACTTGCTTGAGTCCGAAAACAAAACCAAAACCGAAACCGAATCGAAACGAATCGAATTGAATCGAATCGTAGGGAATTGAAACGAGCAAATAAATGTCAAAAGTGTGTATTCGGTAATAAATTGTCGAAATTGGAAGAATAATTCGGGTGTTGTAAATCCATAAAAATATCAGGTGCGATGCATGCGCCCGTATGCCCCACCCCCCAAATTCCCTGGCCCGCTCTCGATGATATTTCTCCTTCTTCTGCGATGAAGCAACGCAATCCAAAAAGAACAAATTGTGGAAGGGGCGAAGGAGAAGCGAGAACGCCCAAGTGCACAATAAAAGTGTAGGGAGACGTGCGCTCTGATAGATGATATCATCAGGAAATACACACATAGATTCTCTCTTTTTTTGTGGGGCGATTTCCCTGTGTGCTTAACCCATATTTTCCACTAGGCAGGAGGGAAAGTTTTAGATTAAACTTAAAACAAGGTTGGCAAATTGATACCAGATAGATAATATGTTAATAACAGATAGATAATAAAAATATTTAGAATATTTCAATATATTTCGAAGTTTTCAAAATGGAATAAAATGAAAAGGTTAAACATAAGAAAGATACGATTTATATTATAATATAACAAATGATATTATATTTTTTTTTGAGAGGACTGTAATTAAATTTTATTTAAAATTATTCAATATTTGTTAGGAGTGCGCAATATCTTGATACAATCACCGATTCAAAGTGGGTTAATCCACGCACTCCAAACAGGGAGACATTGGCAGCTCACTCGGGGAAAAGATGAGAACAAAAGTCAAGTAGCGCTGGGGGTAACTTCATAAATTACTGCTTTATAGAGTATCCAATAGCAGTGGCCATAAAGCGAGTCGAACTGATAACCCAGTGCACAAACACCAGCCGTTAGCATAATCTTGATCCCAATGCTTATCTGGCGTTTATCTCTGGCTCCGGAAAAGAACTTTCGGTGGGTGGAAACTTTGTCTACTGCGAATTCTATCTGGCACCGGCGATCTGACCAAGTTAACGCCCAAAATTTAAAACTCGAATGTCCAATTCGAGTCTCCTCCCATTATCTTCCAGCGAGCTGTAAATTCACCGAGCGCGACACTTTTATTTTGATGTATTTATGACGCCTTAATGTGTTGAGAAAGAACCACGGTGCGAGTGATTGGTGTTTGAGTCTTCCAGTCACTATCAGGCGACACCGAATGTTATGTTTTATGATCCTATATATAGCCGTTTCTTGCCTAATTGAATGATATGATAGCAGGTTTTAGAAAATATTTTAATAGCTCTTAATACAATCGATTCACAGGCCATAAAAGTGCTGATACTCGACGCCGATAAAGATTTTACCATCGGCCAGAGTCGATTCCAACTGACTGAGTAGCCGATCGTGATGGAAACGGTGATGGTTGATGGTTGATGATGGTTGGTTAGTGTCGATGATGATGGTCGCGATAATGATATGATGATGGTCACGATTGCCAGGAACTTTTGGCTATCGCTCATAGATTAGCATTATTTCTTTTTTTTCTGGGGGTTTTTGCCAAGTAGTTTTCGGGGAGACTCGTGTCAGATAGTGATTTCAAGGGGCAAACCGGTTTTTGGAGGGTAGGTTAATAATTTAACATGTCTACTGTTCAATAAAGGTTAGTAGGGCATTACTTAGAACATTTAGAACATAATAATTATATGGAAAATAGTATTATGTACATTGAAGAAATATATTCTGTTTCTTCTGACTGTCTGAAAGCCTAAGTTGATAAAACTCTTGCTATTAGTTTACATAATTATGAGCTCGAATCACAAACGTTTTGTCCCCTTTGGAATTAAATCTTTAATGAGCGTTGCTTGAATCATATTCACTTTGAACTATTATGATATAGAAAATTACAGTAGGAAATCCGGCCATCATTAAACGACAAATGTTTTCTCTTAGAGTCATCAATATGGGAGGTTTTATATAATACGTATATAGGCGATAAACCTAATAATGTTCAAATAAGGCAGGGCAAGAAAATCTTTTGATTGGATCCGAGTTTCTTCAGCACACCAATGAAGGGTTTTTTTTTTTGGAGTAAACTTTTTGAAGTAAACAAATTCGGAGAATAAATTAAATAATCCGATTTGGCTTCGGAAACCCCGCTTTCTTTATGATTGTGTCCCTGGGGATCGTTCTTTAATGCAATTCTTCCTTCGCGACAGTCGGCCAGAGATTATATTAAAGTATGGCCCCCCAGGGGGCTATGATATATATATTTTTGAGTGTTAAAAGGCATGATATATCAGCAAAAGCGAAACATTTTTTATACTTTTTCTTGTTCAGAAGTAACAAATCATAACTGCAAAAATGAATTCTGAAGTTTGTGTGTCTTATCACAAATAAACAGCCAAAGCCATACATTTGTGGTTATGGATAAACAATTAAAAAAGGCTAAATGGGTCCCCGTGGCTCAATTATTAGAAACCATTTCAGATTTTAAATTACTTCTCGTGTACAAGTAATTATTCCTAAGCGACACTTGTTTCATTTTAATAAAATAAATGGTTGTGGAATTTCAAAAATGGATAAGAACTGAACTGAGTAAAATCTAAGATTGTTTTTCATAATTCATAGAGGGATTTCCCCTAACTTACCCTGATTAAGTTTCCTAGCAATCGCTTTCGATCGCATGATAATCTCCAGTAGTGACGTCATTAAACTAGACTTTTTGAATATCCATGGCCAAAAACTCAAAAACTCGAAGACTCGGAGGAAATTCTTTTAACAAAACAGACGCACATGGGCCACTGACATTGACATACTCCGCTATGCTTTCTCTCCCTCCTTTTTTTTCTCCGTCTCACTCACTCTTTCACGGCCCTCTGTTTTTAGAGGCAAGTTAAGCCAAGAAGTCGAAACAATTAGAAATCACTTTTGCAAATCAAGAACACAAGTTTTTCCGGGGTGGACAACCGACACAACTGCATTCGCATTTGCATTTGCATACAACTCCGATGTGGTTGGGGTGCTGTTTATAAATTGTGTTTAAGCCAGCAAGAATCTTGCCAATGTCTGCCTTTTTTGTTTGTCATCTATTTTCTTTTCTGTTTGTTTTTTTCCTTTTTTTTGTTTGTTGCACACGCGTCTTGAAAAGTCGACTGGGGTTGTGGGAAAATATTGAGAAAAACCCCTTAAGAAGACCGTCGGAAAAAAGATGTTGTTATTGTTTGGCTCGAGTTGTTGTTGTTGTTGTGGAAAAGCAGTTTAAGGCACACACAGTTGGCAAATGCGAAATGCAAAATGCGAATTCGGAACTGGAGCTGGAACCGGTGGAACCTGGAGAGCAAAAACCACCTGAACACACCTGCCCCACAAAGCTCCTCGCAAGCGACTGACGATGGAACTCGAGGCGGAAAACAGAAAACGGAGAACAGAAACGGGAAAACTGAAAACGGAAAAATGAACTGAGAGGAGCAGAGAACGTCGACTATTTCGTCTATGCGCTATAGTTTCTTTTTCATTTCAGCTTTTCCACTCCCCCAGCTTTTCCCCCCCTTTGCTGTTTTCCATACCAAAAAAATTAAGGAAGTGGAAGGAGGGGGGAAGGGGAAAAAGGAAAACCCGCCAAGGCAAGGAAAAAAGGAGACTGACTACCGCGGTGGCAATTATGAAGGAACGGGTGGAGCTCCCGAAACTCAGCCGCACCACCAGCCAACCCAGCCAACCACACAGGCACGTGCTTCGCGTGGTGGTGGTAGTGGTGAATTCGGTTAACTCGCAGGTGATTTCAGGTGTTTCCACATCTTGCGGGTGTGTGTGTGTGTGTGTGAGCGGGCAGCCAAAGGACACTAACGACGGGGCACGAAAAACGCAACGTAATTCATGCAAATGAAGTCACGCAAGATTCCCCGCTCCACCCAAAAAGAGAGACAAGGCTCCCCAGGCTTCTGGCGCCCGGGGAAAAAAGGAAACCTCGACTTTTACCATTGCCCATCCAATGGGCTTTCACCTGGCGAAAGGGGAGTGGAGGTCGGGTGGAACCCTCATTGGCCGTAAGTTGGCAATCGTTTCAGGGAATCATAAAGGCGATGATTACCAGGGAAGATATTTCATATGGATGTGACACTTGCAAAAGTTGTGGTTTATGGCTTAAAGAAAAAGTTGTAATACCACAACTTTAAATATGAGTTGTGATAAAATCATATAATATATATAATTAAATATTTATTAGATAAAAAAAACACAAACAAAAAAAACAATGTTCCTTTAAAGAAACATTCTTTACAAAAAATAAATTAATACAACTACTTTATTTCTGTTATTATAAAAGTGTTATTTTCATTACTTAGGATACCAAAGTACAGCTTAAGCTACCCATTTCCCATTTTCCTGTAAAGGTAAGCGAAAAGACGTCGCCTAACCTTGTTATCTTGGCCATCTATCTATATGGCTGTTATTAAAGCCCAACAGGCCATGCACATGCCAAGTAAGTTTCAGGCCTAAGTCCTTTACAGGACCCCCTTTTTAGCTGGCTTGGGACCCCTCTTCGATCCCCCTCCGTTCCCCCTGAAAATCCCCCTTTTGACCCCGCTTATCACACACTGCGGAAATTTATGCAACACCCACTCTATTAACCCTCTTGAAATTCAAAGGACCAAAGGACCACCCTCTGACCAATGGGCAGGCAAAAGGCAAACGACTAAGCGAGGAGGGGAAAGGGGGTGGCTTCTGTCACCGAGGGGGTGGTGATGGGGGGTTGGGGTTGTGGGCCCGTTGGCTTAGATTTGTCGCCTGCTCAGTCCGCGTGTCAGTCGTTTGTCATATAGGAGCGACAATGTCGGACGTCTGACGTCGTCGTCTGGAACTCTTTTCAAGTACATGCAATCAATATTTCGCTTGCATTAATTATTCATGCTAGAAAAGAGCCACCCCCTAACTTTTCCGCTCCTCCCCTCCCCCCACTTTCCCATCCCCCTTTTACCGGCGCCCCTGACCAGTCTGGATAATAATATTTCTTTGGCTTTAGCTGCGTTCCAATTCCAGCGCATTGCTGGCATTTTTTCTTTATTACCAAGCCAGAGGCGAACAGGCCCAAAACGAAAGAGAAGGCGCTACACGCGATGAAAGAGAGGGAAGATGAAGGGGGTAGGGGTATAGAAGGCAGATCGGGTGGGCGGCAGAGCTATAATAAAAGTAAGTCAGCCGAGGGAAAAACATTTGTTTTTGTTCCATCTCGTAAAATAAATGCGAAGATTTCGCTGCAACGGCCAAATCTGTTAACGCTTGTTGCTGCCGTTCAGTTTGGGTCAGCTTTATGGAACGTATAATTGGCCCAAACGAATCTCGGCATCCAAATGCGCTGCGCCTTATTAATAATTGCAATTTTCATAGCTGTTTATCTAACTCTTTGTACGTCATTTGGGGCGCCAAATGTTTGCCTTTTTCCTCGGGAAAGGGAAAAACGAGGGGAAAACCAAGGGGTGTTTCTTGGTCCATTGTTCTATTTTTACACTGCACTTGATCTTGCCAAACAAATATAAATTTACATAGTACATGCACACTGGAGGGCAGAACTTTGTTGCGATTTTAGCCAATTATTCCAAGGTCGCCCACTTGTGTGGGAAATGCCACAAAAAAAAGGGGCGAGAGGATGTGCTGAAAGTACACAATGTCTATAAAAGGGCATGGCGAAAAGAAATTAAATCATGCTCCGGAAAGTCTATATCAACAGACACGATGCATTGCCTAACAAAAAGGGGAAGCCCACTGGAAGATAACTCGCAGTTCCCATGTGCTATAAAATGTGTTCTATATCCATTTGACGTAGTATGTTTTTTATCACAAAGTAAATTGCTGTAGGTTTTAATTTTCTATAGTATTTCAGTTTGTGCATTGTTTACAAAGAGTGACGCATATCAATTATCATTTAGTTACGATTTTTAACACGTAGTAAAAAAATTGAACAATGAAATTTTATTTTTCCTATTATTCTATTTTATGCAAAGACTATCTTAAAACATATGAATACAAATTCTAATAAAAAGAAAACGTATATAAAAAGAATAACGTAAGAAAATTAAATTCTATTTTCTTTAAAAATATATGCGAGTATATTTAAATATATATTAGTTTTATTAATTAAGATAAATCTGATAATAGTTACTTGAAGGCAATCCTTCTTTTTATTACAAACCCCAAATTGACCCCAATTGTAGGACTTCACGCTTTCTCATTAACAGCAAAATCCAAAATTACGGTTACATTAAGAGCCAAAGGCAAAAGTATCTAGGAAAGCCATTTCATTATCCCAATGGCGAGTTTCTCATTAATTTCTCCGCTGCCCGGAGAAAGGGGCAAGGAAAGTAGAGAGTGGCGAGTGGCCAGAGCAAAATGAAATAATTTCAGCGCGCTTTTAATTATCAGGAAATTACAAACACACATCGGTTGCATATATACATACATGTATTGAGAGGAGCATTTATTTTGTATATAGTTGGAGATGCAGTTTTCAGTATGAGGTAATCGTGCAATGGGGTTTTCCGCCCACCCACTCGCATATAGACAAACACGCACACACACACACACACACAATCTGTGGCTCCCACACACGCGCACGAATACAGCAAAACGAAGGCTTCTGACTGGCGGGCATTCAATGGAGTTGTTGCTGTTGTTGTCGCCATTTCGCTGTCGTCTCCCTTATCTCTTTGTCATTATCTCTCTCTCTGTTTGGGGTCGAGGGATGGGATGGGGGCAGGTGGAGAGCGAAGAGCGACTGTCATTCGTTTGTCATCGTTTGCTTTCGACTGAGCGGCGAAAACTTTGGCGTCGCAGCTGCAGCACACGCTCTCTTTTTCACTTTCCCCCTCTCTTTCTGCCGCGTCTGCGCTCTAATTCGCTTGGGGTGGAGCTTTGTTTTGGCCAAAAAGCGAGGAAGAGAGAGAGCGTCACGGCGAATTGACCAAGTTGCTTGTTGCTCTCTTGTTGCTGCTGGCATTTGATTAATGAAGTGTGTTAAGAGGTTACCAGCCAAGGACAAAGGCTCTCCAAGAGGTCCTTGACTGAGGCAGGAATATATATATATAAAGATATCTCGAAAAGAAAGACAACTGGGGGCGTGGTCTCTGCCAGAGCTGCTGCCTCTGTCGCTGCTTTAGCCGCTGCCGCTGCTGCTGCTGTTATCATATCTCTCAGTCGCTGCTCATTTGGCGCTCTCTATCTCATAGGATATGGCCATCTCGCTCGCTCATCTGTTGCTCCCGCTGCTGTTTTGCTGTTGCTCTTTCGCTTTTGCCCACGTTGCGTATACGTAATGTGCGCCAAATTGTGTCGCCACACTGTCGTTGGTCCATTGATGTGCGCTGATAGCGACAGTGGACAGAAGCAGCGACGCAGCAGCAGCAAAAGCAAAGCAGCAGTCACATCAAGCAACAACAACAATAGCTTTGCGCAAAATGGCGTTTGCAGGTACTCCTGTATATATATAACTACTAAAAGACAGAGAGCTCTACCATATAGATATACACCTTTCCGAACTGAACCCAAACCCTCTCAACCATAACTTCTCTTTATCATTCGCTGGCGATATCTCCGACTTGGCAGCGCAACTTTCTTGTGGCTGTAAAAATAAACAAAAGGCGAAAAAATAAAGCCCACAGCCAGGCAAGAACAAACAAAAACCCTGCCGCAAAAAGAGGCAACTCCTTGTTGTTGCTGTTCTCGCTGTTGTTATTGCTGTTGTTGCTGTTGTTGTTGCTGTTGTTGCTGCTGCTGCTGTTGATGTTTCTGCTGTGTTTATTGCCTTTAGCTGCCGTGGCAGCCGCAGCACTGAGTTTTATGTCTTCATTAACTGAAAAAGTTATGAGCCATGGCTGCGGGGATTGGGAAGAAAGGCAACTGGGTGGACAAATCAGGGAACGGAGGTGGAAAAGCGAAGGACAGACCTGACCACAGCATCCATCTGTAAAAGCCGTAATTGGACTTCGACTGATGGTTGACAATATGCCCTTTTTCCTCACTCGACAACAGCGAAAAGTATATAGCACTAAAGACATTTCTTGTGATCAGCGTCACGGTAATCAGTTTTAGTCATGTGCAGATTCTAGGTTTACAACGACCTTTTTTTCAGGGGTACAGTGGTAAAGGATGAGTAATAATTAATTTAAAATAGTAAACTATATAGTATAAACAAACATTTTTATATAGATGTCAACAATAAATAAAAGTAAACGCAACAACGCAACGAAGGACATGAATATGAAATAACAAAAATATTTTTAAAATTGAACTGTGTAAAGAACAAAATAATGAAAATATTTTATGGTTTTGTTTGATTTTATGAATTTAAGGAAAGACAGTACCAGCTTAGATCCCGAGAATTAAAATTTTTAAAATTAT